CCGGAGATGTTGTGGGTAGTTGTTGTAGTCTTTCAGTGTGATATGTTCTTCCTGCTGTTCTTACATTTTGTCTTAACAATATGTCTGACATTTGCCTCAATAATAATCTGCCTTGTTCTTCTTTCAGTTGTTCCATAGCATCTGCCCCATCAAAATAAGAGCCTTCCTGACTGTTTCTAAACATTGTTGCCGACCTATCAGGTAGTTTGCCTGTGATTTTTTCATTGCTCTCATCAATTACCCCTATTATTTCTTCATAAGTAGGGCGTCGCTTCAATCCATAAATACTGTATTTATCAACGTTTGCCATTATAATATAAGATATTTTAGATTAAAAATATTTTATATCAAGTAAAACTTATATAAATTTCTAATTTGATTTATTTGATGCTGTAAATGTTCTAATGAATTGTGCGCGAGGTTGTCCCTTTGTATTTCATTATTAATTCTGTCTATTTGATTTCTGTAATTTACCCTTTTATTTGCTTCAATTATATCATTCCTATAAGATAATAGTTTGTCTCTGGTTTCTCGTCTATCCAGTTGGTCCTTTAACCATTTAAGATAAGCACTGTCATAGTGTTTAAATATCCCCTGTCCCGCTGGTTTCGGACTTCGTCCCAAAGAACCTTCACTGTGTGAAGGTTGTTTCCCTGCTGGTTTGCTAATTTGTTTTCTGTAGTTCAGTGTTGTCTGTTTCTTCCTGTGTGCTTGAAACATTTTCTATATTGTTATTTAGATAATCTTGATGAAATGTTGATTTTAAATGTCTTGACCTCTGGCATCTTTGGTAATCCTTCCCACATTCACACTTAATCATTTCTTTTTTCCTTGCTTGTATCTTTTCTTTATTTTCTTCTTGATATAGTTTGGCTTTTTCTAAAAACCTGCCTCTATTCTCTTGATAATATTGTTTCTTTTCTTCACTGATTTTCTCTTTGTTCTTATCGTGGTAGTCTCTTTCTTTTTTAATAGTTCTTCTTTGTTCTTTTCTCTATATTCTTTTTTTTGTAGTTTTATTTGTTCTTTATGTTCTTGACACCATGTTTTGCTCCTTTCATTAATCTTTTCTTTATTTTGTAAATGGCATTGTTTCTTCACTTATCTGATGTATTATTTGTTATCTGCCCTCCATTCTTTTTCTGTTCTTAATGGTATTTCTGTGTTTAACACTGGTTGCCTTTCTATTATGTAGTGCCTTTCTCTCTTTCTTAATTCTTCAAGATTATTACAAGGGCATTTTTCAATTTCTTCAATGTAAAAGTGCTCAATCCCCAATTCAATCATCTTCACATACAGTGTTCTATTTTTCTTGTATGAATTCATACTGTCTTTATGTTGCTGAAATCTTTTTTGTAATGACTGGCAACTACTGCCTATGTAGGTTTCATCATCTATAAAATTTCCACTGAAGTAGATTTTACCATTCTGAAACTTTTTATCACCTAAACTCACCATTAATTACTATAAAAGATTTCTTTTTAAGTATATATAGTAATTAATTTATTGATTTGCTCACCTAATCGAAAACAATTGTTCCGGCTTCAGTGAGCCCAACTATGCTATCACTAACTAAATGAACCATTATTTCTTGTATTTGCTCTTCTGTTGCTAAAGTTCCTTCTGTTCCTTTGATTTTAAAAGTAATCAAAGAGCCGGACTTTGTGTTCGTGCCAGTAAAATTAACATCAGGCATCTTCTCCAGTGAAAAAGCCATCACAAATTTGTTCTCTCTGTATTGTTTATAACTGATGTTTAGTGAGTTTTGGTCAGCATTCAGAAAATGAAGTGTTCGGCGTAAAAAGTAGAAGGCTTCAGATAAGCTACTCACTTCGAACTCAGGATACTTCTTTGAAGCAATTTGAAGTTGGTAAGTAAGTGCTCTACTGCTGTCAGCAAAGCCTTTACCTGCTTGTGCTGGTATGTTTTCTGGGTCTCCTCCGTCATTAATCTGCCCCCATATCATAGGATTATAAAAATCTTCCACCTCTTATATACATAATTATCCACTAAATAGTTTGAGTAGATTTCCCCGCCTCTCGGTGTGCGGTATAAAGTAATAAAGCATTTGTTAATTTAGACGCTGACTTAACAATATTCATATTAATTTCACCACCGCCTGTGTTAAAAGTTTGAGTGATAGTGTGGTATTGAGGAACAATTAATTTTAATGATTGACCTTCCAATAAATGTTTTGTAATGTTATTATCAACTGTATTATCCAATGTGATTACATCAGCGCGGATAATAACATTGGTCATTTCCCAACTGGTTGATGTATTACCGTCTTGAAAGTAGTAGCCGTTTTTGTCAGTTTGTGTTGTTCCATTAGCTTGAGGGACTACAACTGGTTCAGTGCCATCGCTTACAATGGTAAATTCTAATTCCAAAGGAGCAAAACGAAGTGGGAGGTAATATGAACTTTCCATTAACCCACATACCGGCTTGTTGGAGAGGCGGACTTTTGAATTAGCGCCGGGTATGCCTGATAATGAATGTCTTGTATGCCTATAATCTACTCTACCATATTCGTCGTGGTCGCCGTTTGGATAATAATTTGTTCCATCACCAGTGCCGTTAATTTGAAGGAAATTATCTAATCCATTAGCATACTTATGGTAGTCATCATCATAAGAAGGATTAGCGCTCCTTTCAATGTCATCCATTTCATTAACATCCTTTGACTTAAATGATTTAAATAATTCACAGTGGCGGTTATATTCAACAATATCCTGAACCATTTGACCACCTACAGTAGCCCTGTATCTTTGAAAGAATGAATGAAGACCACCTAAAGGTCGTAAAAACTTTGCTCTTGTGCCGTCAGTATTTTGTAAGTAAGCAAATAGACGGACACTGCTTAAATCTAAATATTGGTTTGCCTCACCGCGGATGTAAAAGCGTATATTTTTATTACCAGCATTTGGGGCATATACATTAGACCCTGATGGAAAATAATTCACGTGTCTTCTATCAGTGATGTATTGACTTGTTTGGGGTAATCCAAAGTTAAGTTGGTTAATCATAACATCGAACTTTCGCTAATAATATTATCCATAACTTATATATTTAAATTTAGATATTTTATATTCTATATTATTTTTCTTTTGATGAGGAAAATACAAACTAATTTTCATTAATTTTTATTTTTTCTTGTGTGCTATTAACTTAACATTTTTGGATTGAATATTATTGCTTATTTTTTCTATATTATTTCCATTATTTTCTACTAAACTGTTTATAGCATTATAATCACTGGGTGGTTTATTCATCTCCTTCTCCAATTTATTATAGGTTGATTGTCCTTTTGTTAGAAGTTTTGGTTTTTGTTGATGTTTATAATCTATCTTATGAAACATTATTAATATAGTTTATATTTTAATACTTGAATTTGGTGATATTCCATTATCTATCTTTGTTGTAGGACTTATTGAAAACTTGCCGAAATCAAAGTTTTCATATCCGTGTGCTTTGATGGGGTCTGGTTCATTTAAATTGCTCGTGATTGCGTAGCCATCTAAAATTGACACAGGGTCATTGGGATTGCGGTAATCCCTATGTTTAGGGTCTTGTTTCCCCTCCTCTTTGGCTTGATTGCCGGTGTGGCATAAGTAGTTGTTTGAAATCTATTTGGGAAGTTTTCATTAAGTGTATTTGCTACAGCACTGCCGAGGCTGTGGCTCACCAGTCTTGTTATTTGAGGGTTATTTTTCAAATAATTCATCACATCTTTATACTTTTCAGTTTGTTCAGCATTCCTTGTTGGTAGATGTATCAAGTCATCTAAAATGTCTCTTGTGATGCTTCCATCTTTTCCAGTAGTGCCACTGATGTATAATGTCTTACCAGTAGAATATAGACCTGACGGTGAAGCATAGGCATTTTTAAGACCTTGCCTGTCTTCTAAAATTTCTTTGTTTCCTACATTCCTTTCTTCTGTATATAGCGTTCTGTTGTTTTGTTTCAGGTTGTTTGTTTTTTTTGAAAACTCATTCATCCTTATGTTGTTTTCTTTGGTCAGCAGTTCTTCCACATTACCATCTATGTTTTTGATTAAAGTATTAAATGTTCTTCTTCCAATTACTCTACCTACATTACCAAGAGTTCCTATCATTATATTACTATTGATAAATTAAAATCTAAATTAAGAATATAATAATGATGAGCAATAAATTAACTTACAAAAAGGTGTATGTGAATTCAAAATTTAGACTACCACAGTCAAGGTCATCATCTGACTTTGTTGCGGAATTACAGGAAAATATGGAACTGCCCCAAGGTAGTAAAATGTGGATTACAGAAGTGTCTTTGCCAACTTCATTTAAGACAACTGAAGTAAATTTCTATGAGTATCTTTATGTGATGATTTATGATAACAACGACACTTTTGTAAAGAATTTCAGGACCTATTTAGGCAATAAAATATATTTTGCTGAACAACTTTGTTTTGATATTAATGAAGGCTTAAACAGTAATACTGGTGATTTATCTACTGGTGGCATATGTGTGTATGCTTATGATGCTACAACAAGAACTGTTCAATTCAGTATCAAAGATGGATTGAATTACAAAATGAAAATACCAACTGATGAAGAACTGGCAAACTATGTGAATTCAACGTGGGATACAGGAAGCACTCCGTATGATAATAGAAATCCTGTGTCAATAAATTATCTATTAAGTAATTATGTTGCTACATCTCCATTGTCGGTCTGGACTTCATCTTATCTGAATTTAGTGCCCTTTAGAGCAGTATATATATCACCAGTATTCATCACCAGCAATGGGTGAATCTTAGCCACCGGCAACGCAATGGAGGCTTCACCGCAATGAGAGCTGGCTCCATCCCCATGACACTTTAACAAGTATTGCCGAATCAAGGTGTCAGATATTCACCATGATTCATCCGTTTCACGGATTCCTTCATCATTTTCATTGGACAAAAAAATAATTCAGCTGAATTTAGAGTGATTTTTTCGGTATTTTACACTTCTGGAGTCCTTCATCAACTGCGTTTTTTTTTCGATACGGCTGTGATGGAGAAATTTCTGATCTTCCAAGACGGAGCTGAAGTCGTCACCTGTCGGAACGGTTGAGATTTGCCTCAAATAATTCGTGTGTCTGAAAATGGGATGTATTCTGGTGTATTAGTGAGAAAAATGCCAGCTTTTCACTGGATTTTGCATCAGTTTTTCCAAGGGGGGAACACCCTACATTTGCAGAGAAACCCGTAAGAACAGGAACCCTTCAACTATTGCAACAGAAGAGACACAGTCTTACACTTCAGGATGTACCGTCTGACCATCCGTTTGTACCCAGGAACAAAGGTGTTTTACCACCACAATTTTAGTGTCTTTACAGGAATATGCTCTGAGATGTAAATCATTTTATATGATTTTATATGTTGTCTATGTAATTTAATATGGTAATAGGGCATATCCCTTCACCATTCTTGGAGGATATTTGTAGGGTCTAGGTGCATTGAAATATCTGAAGCAATGAGGAGATCCAAACTTGTCCCTGTTCACTTCACCAACCTCATGCAGATTGAAAAAGATCGCATTCAGAACAGCCTCCGCCAAGCGCACTTTTTGGGCGTGCGGCTTTTCTGAGTGATGTGTTGTTTCCCTATCATATACAAATATAACCCTATATATAACAATAAGTAATAATAAATAATAAATAATATTAATAACATCACAATTTCATCATCATTGTCATTGCAATGAGAACATCTATGTTGTCAACCTGTTGGAGACTTTCTGCTATTGTGCTACCATCATCCCTCAGCAACACGCCCTGGATCATCAACGCAAGCAAAGAATCCAGCTCACTCTTCTTCAACACATGTAGTTCCACTCCGAAGTGCTTAAAACAAAACATAACAAAACAATAAATGTATAGGATTTATAATTAGGATGTTAAAACATGTTAAAACTTCAATGTCCATAGTAAAAAAAATGTAAAAAAAAGATGTTACAGGGACCGAACATATCCCAACATGGGCCATCATGGACATCATCCCATAATTTCACACGTGATCCCGGCGGCGCCTCATCCCATGGCCATCAAGATCCTGTTGGGAACTGCACCTGGGATATGCACAGCACTGCTGATACTGGCAGGGACAGTAGCAACAAAATCTGCTGAAGATACGAGACATTCTGGCGTTCATGGTTTTCTTCAAAAGGAAACATGGAAACATTTGTCTGAAAATTCAGAAAGAGAACACCCTAAATCCTCAATTCCCCTAGTGAGTCACTAAGTTACCTATTTGCCACGCATTTTTTGGGGTATACCCTATTTTCAGACACACCCAGAGGAGCAGTGTTCAAAACTCGCTTGATGTCGTTCCCTGAAATACTAGCTCATACGGATTCGCATAGTGGATGATAATCACCGATATAATGTATAGAACCAGTACAGAATAATCATCCCCTATGATCATCACCAGCTCAGGGATATTGAACCTCCGAAAATCTCAAGTTGAAAGGAAGTTGACTGCGTTTGACATTAGAGCAATCCGAAAACGTATGCCTTCCACCTCCAACGTATTCAATTTCTGAATGTCAGCAGATAAATCCGAAAAAAATGTCATCAGCAGCGATGTGGCAATTGAGAGACTGTCAGGAAAGAAAGACAAGCAGCAATTCAAAAAAGAGAACATCGCCAAATCCTATACACAGGCATCACCACCCACCAGGCTTGGAACAGGACTTTGCAATGATGCCTCTGACTCTGTTTCTCAATGCTTTCCATCAGTGAATCTCAGCAGGGGAATCCGAGAAAGTATCTTCAACGGCAATATATAACCTAAGCAAGCTACTGACACTCTGCAACCGTTCAACCGCGCCAGGAAAAAGCATTAAGTCTTCAAAGCCAATTTATTTATTCATATCTATTGCACAACTACGGGCAAGAGGTCGCACAAGCAAATGGCGCAGCGTCCAAAGTCAGATAGGGCAATCTGTGAAGCAAATCAAGCAAATCTATGCACATCTCGATAAGCTTGGAACAGGACTTTGCAATGATGCCTCTGACTCTGTTTCTCAATGCTTTCCATCAGTGAATCTCAGCAGGGGAATCCGAGAAAGTATCTTCAACGGCAATATATAACCTAAGCAAGCTACTGACACTCTGCAACCGTTCAACCGCGCCAGGAAAAATCATTAAGTCTTCAAAGCCAATTTATTTGTTCATATCTATTGCACAACTACGGGCAAGAGGTCGCACAAGCAAATGGCGCAGCGTCCAAAGTCAGATAGGGCAATCTGTGAAGCAAATCAAGCAAATCTATGCACATCTCGATAAGCTTGGAACAGGACTTTGCAATGATGTCTCTGACTCTGTTTCTCAATGCTTTCCATCAGTGAATCTCAGCAGGGGAATCCCAGAAAGTATCTTCAACGGCAATATATAACCTAAGCAAGCTACTGACACTCTGCAACCGTTCAACCGCGCCAGGAAAAATCAACATCAACCAACGTTCACCTTTTGAGGGTGTCCTAAGTCATAGGGCTAGCCCCCAAACAATCATCCATTTATAGATGGATTTTCCACTATAAACCATCCATTTATAGATGGATTTTCCCATGGATTTTCCTATGGATTTTCCTATTAAAAATGGTGATGTTCCATGGTTTTTTGTATGTTTACCAGGCCGGGTAACTTGACCCATCCATCGTCACCTCCGCCTTAAAGTAGTTTTCCCAGTAGGGACCCCCACTTCCTCAGATGAACAAGTGCTGTCAAACATCAGCCCATCTCAGGGTTATGTGACATGAAACCACACCCAAAACGGTTTGTTATCAAATGGGATGAGCTTCAAATGAGTTTCCATATCTTGTTTCTCATATGTAATTATATATAATAATATACAATCATATTTAATTATATACAATCATATACAATAATATACAATCATGTATAATCATATAAAAACAAACAAAACAATATAATTAATCATATATATATATTATCAAATAATAATATTATATATATATATATATATATATATTAAAAAAAAACATAATATATATATATATTATATATATTATAATCATAATATATACTCATATATACTCATATATACATATGTGGATAAATTCAAATAGAATCGGGAAGAAATGGGGCAAACAGAGGTAAAAATGGGTAAATCTTGGAATGCATTCCAGTCAAAAAAAAGAAATGATTCACCAAGCATCACCAAGCTATATCCTTTCCAGTGAATTCCTGATCACCCTTAGAGAGACCACAAGATACCAGCTATGGTAAGCTATGGTATGCTAGGTTGGTTTAGAGTTTAGAACTAACATCTGGTTGGTGGTTGAGCCCTACCCCTCTGAAAAATGATGGAGTTCGTCAGCTGGGATGATGACATTCCCCAACTGAATGGAAAGTCATAAAATTCATCTTACATATATGGATTACCAATATATGATTGGATTCTTGATATATAATAGACATCCAATTACATTATATCATTGGATATTCCAAATGTTCCAGTCACCACCAACCAGCTTTAGGACGAACAAACCGATTTTGCGATTTGTAGATCTCGATTTCACCCGTGAAAAATGCTGAGATGTCCGACGGAAAAGCGCCCCTTCGCCATCACCTTCCGCTGGAGAAGGCCAGTCAGGAGGCCGGCTTTGTCAATGGCCAGGATAAGGCAATTTTCATGGCAATTTTCATCGGGAACATGATGATAATCTATGATGATATCCTATGATGATAATCGATTTGGCAATTTCTATTGGGGGGTACCCGATTTTCATGATTATATGATATCCTATGAGGCCATGATGATCTATGATGACAATCTATGGGAGTATCCCAATGATGATCATCTATGGTATCTTAGTTTTAAGACAAACTTGGGTTTTGAGCCACTCCCAAAAGCCTCCTGCTCGCAGGTTTGCTTCAGGCCACCCCGAACTGGTGGCTCCTGCGGTGAAAATGTTGCGGAGATGATGCAGCCGGAAGTCATCTTTTTTCACCCTCTAAATTAAGAGTTCGACCCTGGCAGATAGGGGTTGGAAATGTTGTTTCCATGAAAAATGGAATATTTTCAGACTCTATATATTGCTTGGGATTATATGCGGATTTCCCAGCTAGCCATGTTTGATGAGACAGGAGGGTAGGTAACCAACATTAATTAACCATGATGATAATAGTTATATATCAATGTATAAAATGTATCATCATTTATCAACCATAATTTATATAATATAATTTATATCCATTAATCTGGGTAAATTATTCCATAATTCACTGCAACAGTTCGGCCATATTGGGACAATCCCCTTCTAACTAACTATGATTCCAGGCTTCGGTCATGACGTGAGGTCAGTTTCTATCAGGAGTTGCTACAGGCGAAAGGACCGTCCATGTGTGACATCGAAGCCCGGAATTAATGGTCTGGAAGATGAATTTCCCAATTTCCCATGGATTTTCCTGTGATGTAGCCATAACATTGCCATAAATATGTAATTATATATATATACATATGGTTTTCATGTGAAATTTAGGGGCTGTAATAAGCCATAGCGTTTGTTCATTGAAATTCTATACAGCTCCAACAGAACCCCCAGACTGTCCAGCCATACCCCTGGCGCCGCGCCGCTCCTAGCATTTCAACCTTAACCAATGCAAAAGATGTGACAGCGCATTGAACGTTGGTGACTCCCGACAACGGTAAGGGTTTTGCATATGATTTGCGTTTTTGCCCATCTTATTGTTCCGTATTCCAAAAACCAAATGATGAAATCATTCAACCAGTCTGGATGTTGGTGAAATCTTGAATGTGTCTGCAATCGTTCAAAAGGCCTCGAGATTTCATAGAATTCATCAGCCCCCCAAAAAAACATGGCTGTTATTCCAATGGAATTTTTATGGCCAGGGTGGAAACAACAATTTTTCGAACCGTGAACCGGCGCCTTTTTCATCCATTTTAACCGTTTTCGTATGGTGATTGTTTGTATATAGAACTAAAAACATCACAGATGAGGAGTTTCATCGCGATTTCCGTTGCGATACCCTCACTGCCTACAGTAGTGGTTTCAAGCCGGAAAATCATTAGCAATCGCACCTGGTCGCCCTCGCAATTCACATCCTTGGTTAGCCACCCCAGATGCTTTTGGGTGGGAAAAATAGCTGGGTAGAGAGATAGGTTATCATTGAAGTATGGGTTGGAGCAACCCTCTCTTACCATCTCTTACCCTCTGGTTATTTAACATAGCCATGGAAAATCCATTATAAATGGAGGTTTCTAGCTGGAAAAATCATCTATAAATGGACCATTTTCCATAGCTATGTTAAATAGCCAGAGGGTACCTTCCGGTAGATATACGGAAAAGCTACCATGTTGGGATCATTTTCGGGAAACCCATGGACTGAAAAAGATTAACATCCAGCTCTCTTTGGAGCTTTCGATTTGGGCCTCCAAAGCGAGGTCCTTTCACTAAAGGACCTTATAGGGCCAAAAGGTCCTTTGGGCAAAGGCCCTTATAAACGCTATATATATACATATTGTAGATTTTCATTATACTAGAATATATATACATATACATACACATAAGTATAACAATAATATGTATGTATATATATAATATATATATATATATATATTAATTATATATATATATATTATATATATTAATTATATACATATATATATGTGTCAAAACTTGTTTTTACCTTGACCATTCAACATGCACCTACCTAATTACCATGTTTCTGCCACTTGGGTCGGAGCAGTCGCATAAAAAAGCTCAGCTTTCAAGATTCAAAGGCGGATGGCACTTCAAAAGCAGCAAAAGACGCTTCATAGTGCCTTCAAAAAAGCGGCTAGCGGCTAGCGGACTTTCCGACATCTCAAAATGTCCCCTAACTCACGGTGCTTTCACGCTATGGAAGGTCCTTTTCACCCTCATTCACGCGGATTCACACGCAAATTTGCTCGCCTCACACGTAGAACAAACAAAAACAATGCTATTTTGGACGTTCAAAGTAGCCATTAAAATTAAGTGTGGACTGACTGGCTGCAGAAGTGGATTAGCCAGCGTCAGTGCTCAGTGGAGGGTCATTAGGTTGTCCTTGGGAAGTCTTTATGGGTCTGTGTTCCTATTTGCGCGCTGCTTGTATTGACAGGCCTTGGTTTTAAATAATGTGTTTATCTCTGGTAAACTAACAGTTTGCTATTGAAAATTGCCATTGAAATAGTGGATCTACCCGTTAAAAATGGTGGATCTTTCCATCGTTTTTTCTATGTTCACCGGAGGGTATCTCTGCCCATGTAGATATGGGCCATCTGCCCAGGTGTCCGGAAAGTCATAGGTAACACTGGATCGCTACTGAAACATGTTAACCTGGTAACCCCCTCCGATGTCTATAGCTGGTTGGTGGTTGACCTAAAAACTGGGATATCTGGTTATTATGGTAGGTATATGGTTAATGATGATGGTTATTATTAATGGTTAATGATGGTTAATTAATAATAATCTGGTTGGTGGTTGACCTACTCCTCTGAAAAATGATGGAGTGAGTTCGTCAGTTGGGATGATTTTTCCATTCCCCAACTGTTTCTGGAAAGTCATAAAATTCCATGGTTCCAAACCACCAACCAGGATATCTATAGAATCCGGATATCTATAGATTGATAGTCCCATATCACATTCCCATGGTAACACATCATATTCCCATGATTGAAACCTCATGAAAGCTCTATATTCATCAACCCTCTGGGGTAACCCACCTTCGTTACCTTGCAGCATGGCTCCCCTGGGTCCTCGCCGAAAGATCAGGATCGAAGAGGGACCAAGAACTCGTGTCAACACAATGATTTAACGATTATCTGAAAAACAAAAAAACATGTGTACATGTGTACATATATTTATTTCTATATAATTATATATGTATAGTATTATATATATAGTATCAACTGTCATGGTAATTGGCTGCATCATGATCCGCGGCCGCGGCCAGCAAGTCCTTGCTCACAAGCTATTAACAAGTCCTAAAATCATCTAAAATCCCTATGAAAAAAAAAAAACATTCATTCACAAGCCTATGATCTGAGATGGGTCAAGCTTTTGAAACCATCAATGAGGACACCAAGTTGGTGACGACGCTGGATCGATCTCCTTGGAGGCGTTGGGAAGGCCACACACAGCTTGGTCCTTCAGCACCTACGCTGGCGGTGGCTTCACAATGGAACTGGGGAAACGCGCGTTTTCAGCGTCATTCAGAAATCGCTGCGGCAAATTCTACAACTGGTTGGTGGTTTTTCGCCTACCCCTCTGAAAAATGAGGGGTTGTGAGTTCGTCAGTTGCGGTTATGAACTTCCCAATATGATGGGAAAGTCATAAAATTCCATGGTTCCAGTCACCACCAACCAGACAATCTTAGTTACGGGACATGGGCCATAGATGTCCACAGTCTCGGCTTGCCGCGGCTGGAAAATGTCAGAGTCATCTTGGGCCTTGCAACTGGCCCCCATGGCGCCGAACTTGCTTTTCGGAGACAATTCTGGAGCTACAATAAGGTAACTGTTGTTCCATGTTCACATGGTACCTTGCAGCTAGGTTTCATGGCGCTGCATGAAGCTGGAAGAAACCAAATTCATGAAGGTCTACTGCTGGGAGGTGACAAGGTACGGTTGAGTCTGTTGTTTGTAGGACTGTTCAAGGTAGAACGGTGCAACGTGCTGCCGGTCTGTCGATGCGGCTCTGTTGCAATATGATTCGACACATTGAAAGACCGATGCTTGCTTTCAGTAGTTGGAGAAAGGCAGCGAAAACTTGCGAAACAAGGCTCTCTGACATACAAGAAATGTTGACGGATATGAAATTCTGATATTTCATGTCGCTATTGTAGTCAATAATACAGTCATTCATATAGTAATGTGTATATATATATATATACACACTGTTCTGCACTTTAGACGACTGACCATTACTACCCATTAACCATGGTGCCAGCCAGTGCTGTCTTGAGCTTAATGCTGCAGAGCCGTGATTGTTGTGTTTACAAGTCTGTGCAGAAGTTATCATGCATTGACAAAAATTGGGTTACAAATGGTTATGATGTATAATACTAAGATATAATTAATTAGGACAAACGAACAAACAACTATACAGACAATGGGAATGCTATGGGATTTAATTGCTTTAGTTCTAATGGTTCCACACGGGAAGCTCACTGATCCAAATCTATGCAAGGCTTAACAGTGATGTGAACGTTGGTTTAAAAACAAAAAACAATGAATAGCTAATTGGTGGTTTCAACACCCCCCGAAAAATATTAGTCAGATTGGATCATCATCCCAACTATTGGGGAACATTAAAAAAATGTTCCAAACCACCAACCAGATAGTATAGTTACATTAAAACTTTATTCAACCCAAAAATGACCCAAGAGTTATGTCATATGGTCGACTTAGCTGTCGTAACCCCCGGACGGTAACCGCGGCACTTCCCAACCGTGCGGATCTTGTCAATGTCACCTTGGCTTCGCACCGTTTGACCGTCCGTTTGTAGCCATCAAAATGGTGTTTTACCCGATAAGCTGGTACTTTTACCAATTTTTGGGGTGTATTTGGAGGGTCTAGGAGTCTAGGTATCTTAGTCTTAGTGATGTTATCATCATGTTCATGCACAACGTGAACACATATCATTTTGGTTCATTTTGCATAACAATAGCTGTCAGGGGCTGATGCTTGCCTGGAGAGTAACGGGCAAACACTGAAAATGACTCAAAAAAACTCAAATACACTCCAAAAACATCCAGTTGAGCTGGAAAGGAAATTGCAAATGTGAGCTTATCTAAGAACTGGTCCATTCGTACTATATATATATACATATATATATATGTGGCAGGGACCTTTTGGTATAATGCGACCGTCCTCCTTTCTGATCTTATCCAGTGGTTGTAGCTCTTTTCCTTCCTCTTCCTTTTTTCTTTCCTTACTTGTTCATCTATTCTTTCCCAGTGCTTTCTTCACCCTCATTACAGTTGTTATCTCTGGGTGCTTTTGGGACCCAAGATTCTCCTTGCCTCCCATGTGTTCCAATTTGTGTCCTTATTCAGCTAATTTTTTCTCCCTTTTTTTTCTTCAATTTACTTTCCTACTCATTCTACTCTCGCCGTTGCTGTTTCTGTCTAGGCTTTAGAACCTTCAAGTGCTTTGGGGCCATAAACATTACCGAGTCCATCATCCGGGTCACCAGCATTTTGGGACGGAGAGGATAGTTTTTCTCCTCTTTCCTTTCTTTCCTTACTTGTTCCTCTAGTTTTTCCCAATGCTTTCTTCGCTTCTCTCCTCATTAATTACTGTTGTCCTCTCTGGGTGCTTTTGGACCCTCGACTCCTGGTTCTTCTCGTCTCCCATTTGTGTCCGTGTTTGTTCCCCTTGTTCTCTCCAAGTTGTATCCTTCATTTCCTTCCCATTGCCATTCTTCTACCAGGCTGCTTTGGGAAGAATGGATTTCCTGGTCTTTGTTTCTCCCTACTTGCCTTCCTTTGTGGAAGTCTGCGTGCTTTGGGACGAAACCATACGAAACCCATTATCCGTTACTCCGTTACATTCCCTTACCCTGGGTCCCTACCATATGTTACCCTACTTGCCTTTCTACTAGTCCCCAACTTGTCTCCTTATCATCTCTCCACTACCGTGCTTCTTTCCAGGTCTCCAGCATTTGGACGGAGAAGAGAGCTTTTATCCTCTTTCCTTTCTTTCATTACTTGTTGCTCTAGTCTTTCCCACTGCCTTCTTCACTTCTCTCCTCACTACCGTTGTTCTCTTTAGGTGCTTTTGGGACCCAAGATTCTCCTTGTCTCCCACGTGTGTCTAGGCTTTAGGACCTCTAGGTGCTTTGGGGCAATAAACATTCCCGAGTCCTTCATTTGTGTTGCAGTCCTCCTCTCTCCCTTCCTTTTGTCCATCCCTGTTACTGTTCTTCTTCCTGGATGCTTCTGGGCACAGGATACTCTTCGTCTCTTCGTCTGCCATTTGTTTCCGTGTTCGTTCCCCGTGTTGTCTCAAACTTGTTTCCGTACTTCTCTATCTATTGCTATTCTTTTCTCTGGGTACGTTTGGGACGCAAAGTTCTCCTTGTTTTCCACCTGTTTCCGTGCTTGTCTCCCGTGTTGGCTCCTACTCCCTGCCTGAGTTCTGTTTCTCTGGGTGCTTGATGGCAGCGGATTCTTCTTGTCTGTCATTTGTTTCCATGCTTAGCTGCTTGTCTCCTTGTTTGTTCTACTACTCCCCCCCCCCGCGCTCAGTGTTCTTCGTTTGGTTGCTTTGGGTACAGGACTCTCCTTGTGTCCCATCTGTTTCCGCGCCCGTCTCTCTGCTTGTTCCCAACTTGTTTTGACACTTCTCTCTTCATTGCTGTTGTTCTATCTGGGTGCTTCCGGCGCACAGGATGCTCCTTGTCCCTTGTCTGTTTCCGTACTTGTCGTCCTTGTTGTCTCCATTTCGTGCCCTTCTTTCTTTCTTTCTTTCTTTTTTTCTTTCTCTCTTTCTTTCTTTCTTTCTTTCTTTCTGTCTTTCTTTGTTTCTTTCTTTCTTTCTTTCTTTCTGTCTTTCTTTGTTTCTTTCTTTCTTTCTTTCTTTCTTCTTATTCTTTCTTTCTTTTTCTTCTTTTCTTTTTCATGTCCTTTTCTTCTTCTTTCTTTCTTTTTTGTCTTTCTTGTTCTTCTTTCTTTCTTTCTTTCTTTCTTTCTCTCTCTCTCTCTCTTGCTGTTCTTCTTTCTAGGTGCTTGTTGGGACCCCTGATTCTTCTCGTCTGCCATCTGTTTCCGTACGTGTCTTCCTTGTTCTCTCCAAGTCGTATACTTGTCTCCCTTGTTCTCTCCAAGTTGTATTCTTAATTCCCTCCCCATTGCTATTCTTCTCTCAGGCTGCTTTGGGAAGAATGTTTCTCCCTACTTGTCTTCCTTCGTATAAGTCTCCTTGCTTGTCTCTCAATTGCTGTGCTTGTCTCTGTGTGCTTTGGGACGAAACCTATTATCCGTTACATTCCCTTACCCTCGGTTACTACCACATGTTACCCTACTTGCCTTCCTACTTGTTTCCAACTTATCTCCTTATCATCTCTCCACTACCGTGCTTCTTTCCGGGTCTGCAGCATGTGGCACGGAGAGCAAGGTTTCTTTCCTCTTCCCTTTCTTTCCTTACTTGTTCATCTATTCTTTCTCAGTGCTTTCTTCACCCTCATTACAGTTGTTATCTCTGGGTGCTTTTGGGACCCAAGATTCTCCTTGCCTCCCATGTGTTCCAATTTGTGTCCTTATTCAGCCAATTTTTTCTCCCTTTTCTTACTCCATTTTACTTTCCTACTCATTCTACTCTCTCTGTTGCTGTTTCTGTCTAGGCTTTAGAACCTTCAGGTGCTTTGGGGCCATAAACATTACCGAGTCCATCATTTATGTCCCTTCCGTCACCTTGTTGCAGTGCTCCTCTTTCCATTCCTTGTTGTCCCTCCCTGTTACTGTTATTCTTCCTGGGTGCTTCTGGGCACAGGATACTCTTCGTGTTGCTCGATGGCAAAGGATTCTTCTTGCCTCCCATTTGTTTCCATACTTGTCTCCTTGTCTGTTCCCAACTTGTTTCTTTATTTTTCTATCTCCATTGCGATTCTTCTCTCCGGGTGAATTTGGTCAAAGGAATCTCCTCGTCTCCCGTTCCTCTCTCTCCATTGCTCAGTGTTCTTCGTTCTGGTGGCTTTGGGGACAGGGCTCAAGTCTCATCTGTTTTCGTACTCGTCTCTCTACTTCACTCTCACATGTGGCTGTTCTCTCTGGGTGCTTCCGGGGGACAATATGCTCCTTGTCCTCTGTCTGTCTCCGTGCTTATCCCCCTTGTTCTCTCCAACTCGTGCCCTTACTTCTCTCTTTCTCTCTCTCTCTCTCTCTCGCTGTTCTTCTCTCTAGGTGCTTATTTGGACACATGATTCTCTTCGTCTCCCATCTGTTTGCGTACTTGCCTCCCTTGTTCTCTCCAAGTTGTATCCTTAATTGCCTCCCCCTTGCTATTCTTCTCATTTCTTCTCTTAGGCTGCTTTCTGTACTTGTCTCTTAATTGCTGTGCTTGTCTCTGCGTGCTTTGGGACGAAACCTATTATCCGTTACATTCCCTTACCCTCGGTCACTACCACATGTTACCCTACTTGACTTCCTACTTGTCCCCAACTTGTCTCCTTATCATCTCTCCACTACTGTGCTTCTTTCCGGGTCACCAGCATTTTGGGACGGAGAGGAGAGTTTTTCTCCTCTTTCCGTACTTGTTCCTCTAGTTTTTCCCAATGCTTTCTTCGCTTCTCTCCTCATTAGTTACTGTTGTTCTCTCTGGGTGCTTTTGGACCCTGGACTCCTGATTCTTCTCGTCTCCCATTTGTGTCCGTGTTTGTTCCCCTTGTTCTCTCCAAGTTGTATCCTTCATTTCCTTCCCATTGCCATTCTTCTACCAGGCTGCTTTGGGAAGAATGGATTTCCTGGTCTTTGTTTCTCCCTACTTGCCTTCCTTTGTGGAAGTCTGCGTGC